GTGTGCACAACTACATGTGACCCCAAGTTACTTGGGATTGAAGAAGTATGAATGGGTGATTCCAAAGGCTGGATTTATCTTTCTTAAGGTTACTGAATACACAAAAAACCCTTGGAATCACTCAGTCATACTTCCTCACAAGCAATTCTTTTTTTGTGAAATTTGTTACTTGTGAATGCACAATGACATGTGACCCCATGTTACTTGGGAGTGAGGAAGTATGAATGGGTGATTCCAAAGGCTGGATTTATCTTTCTTAAGGCTACTTAATACAAATAAACCCTTTGTAATCACTCAGTCATACTTACTCCCAAGTAACATGGGTTCACATTGGTTATAGTGTGCACAACTACATGTGACCCCATGTTACTTGGGAGTGAGGAAGTATGAATGGGTGATTCCAAAGGCTGGATTTATCTTTCTTAAGGCTACTGAATACAAATAAACCCTGTGTAATCACTCAGTCATACTTCCTCACTGCCAAGTCACATGTAGTTGTGCCAAATTATGCCTTGACAATTGCCCAACAAACAAGCACCTCCCAACACCTCTCACTTCCTCAGGGTCAATCATTCATCAAAGCTCATGGTGTATGGTCTCTACCATATTTTATTATCAACAAATATTTGTGTCTCATGTGACTAGTTTGAGTATGAAATTAAACACATTAAGGCTCAATTGATAAACTCAATGGAAAACACAAGAGATTCATTGAAAATAACATTTTGAATGATGCATGTGAGGAGTTGGAATGGAGAGAACAGGAATGCAATCAAAATTATAAATCAACCCAAACCTCCTCAGTATCTTCGCCATCATCTACAACTTCTCCTGAAACTATCTCCTCTAACACATCATTGACATCATTCAAATCAGGAAAGTTGTCCAGCTTTTCTTGCTTGATTTGTCTCAACAAGTTGTTCCAATCCTGTATAAATGTCAGATTTTCAGTTGGCTGACAGGAGCCCCATAGCCATGTGATGTTATCCGACCATTCTTCCACAAGTTCGTTATGACTGGCCAGTCGGTTCAGAAGTTCCTTGTGGATCAACTTGACTTTGTCACCGCGGGTGATATTGGTCAAATGGATTCTATCAACATGATCTTCTGGGGCGTCAGGAGCTCTCCTCAGCTGTTGCATACCTATGGCAGGAAAATCATATTAGACAAGGCAACTAGATGACTAAAAATGGAATCAAACACTTACGTTCTTGCATGTAACTAATCTGCTTGGCAATCTGGTCATGGACCTCTATTGCCCAAGCCATCATCCGGACCAACTCTTGTGCAATGAGCTCAAACTCTTCTTGAACCCTGCTTAGCCCAAGCACACAGTTTATACCCTCTCGGACCTCGGGGTTGATTGCCCATGGCGCGTCACAATGGTAGAAGAGTCCATCGTTCCAAAATGTGTCGTCGAGGGGCATAGTCTTGAGCTTTTTGTATGACATGAGGTTGTCATCGTCACCATGGGTGCCATGTTGATTGGGGAACTTGAGCCTGTACTGCGAGTATCGTAAATTATATTCTGTTATTACCTTGTCTATTGCTGGTCGTCTGTTGTTGATTGCCTTGAATATTTTCTCTTTCAACTTGGTACCCAACCTGGCACCAATGGTTTTGCTATCAACCAAAGGCTGCCTTTCAGCTCTAAGGTGGACTGCTTCAACGAACAACTCAGATTTGGCGCTCCACAGAAGAAGGCGCAATTTGCGTTCTTCCACTAGTAAACAAACCCACAATCTTACATTCAGTATACCACTATGACAACTGCCTGTTAGTTTGTTTGGTAATGACTTACCATTTGCAGCTGGTGCACTGTCCCCCAATAAACTTTCAATTTCCTCTTTAAGTTTCTCAGATTCAGCCTCAATTGAGTCCAATAACTCCCGCACTTCTGCCTCTGTTGCCAGGAGGAGGCTTGGGTTGCGTAATCGACACCTAACAATAAGAACAAATCAGTTATGGTTAGGTGAAAAGGACAAGGAATGGTAGCCAAATTACCTCAGTAGTTCTATGACATTTTCTCGCTGATACATAGCCACCAACTTCTTCATTCGTCGTTCTTCAACATCCGTGTGATCTGCCTGAAATGCACGTTGTGCTGTCCACTGTCGTAAAAAGAACGCCCGGGTGTAGTTTCTTCCTGAGGAACTGTGAGGGTTTTGCTTGGCAAGGAGTTTGGATAATGCCATTTGAGTCTCACGTCTCCGTTTAACAGCCAGGTTGAACTTCTTCCGCAACCAAAAAGCTAAAAGATATATGTAAGTATGATGAGAGAGAGGTAATCAGTTTTGAGTGGAACTCATAAAAATGAGGCTAGAGAGATAAACTCATAAAAAAGACTTACATAATTGTTTAATGCTTCTCTTATTGTGGTGTGCTAGGCGGTGAGATATAGAGTCCAATCGATGGTTCCGGGTAGCATACCTTAAGGGGCTAACTAACGGGGAAAGGTAAGACCACATTCTCTCTAAACCTTCCCCATCAGATAGTCCCCAACCCTTATTGAAGCGGGGATGGTAGTCCAACTGGCAAGTCCAGTTATGGGCGTATGCATGGAAGATTGATGTACCAAACTTGATGCGTTGTCGGTCATCAACAAGAAGATTTCTCTATGACAGATAAGCAGGTAGATGTTAGATAAGAAGCTCAGAAAGTACAACCATGAAAAAACAAAATTACACATACTAAATTGATAAACTTATCCATTGAGCACCCAATGTCATAGAGAATCCCAACTTGACGATTGGGCTCAATAACCGAAAGCAGCTGTTGGATGATTGCCAGTGGGAAACACCGCTTCTCACCAGACTTATGTATGTTGGCTAGGTATATTGCTGCATCGTGTCGGCAGCAACAACCCATCAAACCAGTATCGTCACAGCCCTTCCAAGTTGACTCATTTCGCTTGTCATCTGCTGCCTTATGTGCCTCAGTACATCGGTCTACCTGAATCATTAAAAAGAATCCATTACATTAAAATTTTTAAATTAGATATTTGAATGAGATTTGGATAACCTTACCTGTTCAGGAGTATTATCAAGTGTTTCCTTTTCTCTTATTAGGCATGATGCTTTATCCACATTGGCTTGATCAAGAAATATTCGAGGGGTGCGAAGTTGTTCGTGATTCCGGCTGGCCTTGGTGTGATGGCGGTGCTGGAAGTTGCCATCCAGACATACTACCAAGCGATCTCGAGTGGTCTCCGGGTACATTGAACTATCTAGTGGTTGGGGGCCAAAACAAGCTGGACATGACAATGTTGCTATAACTTGTTGGTCACTTAAGCCAAGCACTGAATGAAACAGGGTATCTGATTGTTCCTCTAGTCGCCGATACAAATCCACTGCCGCGCTGAATGGTTTACGCACATCTCGTGACTTGAGCTATAGAAATGAATGATGTAGATCATCAGTAACTAGCATTCCATTTTGATGGATGCAAAAAGGTAAAACTTACATTTTGGTGTTGACGGTTACGAGCAAAGAGTTTTTGGGACCTAGGTTCTAGAAATTCAGTAAGAGCTCTGGTAAATGGTAATGCACCAATATGACAGTTATTCCACAAGTGGTTGTGGAAAATAAGAAGGGGGACTGAAAAGGCGGTCTGGGGTTGGATTGGGGAGCCTGCTATATAACCAAGGTAGAGGAGTCGCACAGCATCGTGGGTGCATCTACAAAAATCAACCGCCACACAACGCTGCCCTGAATCACAGGAAAAAATGAATCAGCTCATCAAATTAAAATAATAAATAGAAATGTAAGACAAAAGCACAAACCATGGATATCAATCAAGTCAACACACCGGCGACTTTTAGCTTGAGGTCCACACTTGCAAGGAGGGCAATGATCCTGGTAAGAATTTGCACCAGCCCAATTTGAGGTTTCGACCTTCTGTACCATATAAACCGGGTGGAGGTAAGTAAGGATTAAATTCCAGTTAAATTCTCTTGCTCGTTGTCGGTGTCGCTCGTTGCTTGCTTGAACCATCAGATCAATTGCATCAGGTTCTTCCCTGTCCACAGTAACCCAGTTTGTCTGCCACTGATCATCTTCATTGTCATCCGCATCGTCTTCAAGCCCTGGTTGCGGATTGATTTCCTCTTCTTGATCATTGAACGTATCATCACGGTGGTTAAATATTTCTTCCTGCAGGGGGGGGCGAGGTTCACGAGCTTGGGACATTGATTCTTCTAGGCGTTGCCTTGCTGCTAGGTCTTCTGTTGCATTCAGTCTTCTTCGAACCCGATCTTCTCGATTGGTAGGGGGGCCAAAAATACGCTGTCGTCGCATTATGCCAATCTGAACTTATCTATGCAGTGCAGTGTTGGAGTTAAAGTTAAAAGAAATGAAGAAACTGAAGTTTTCATTGCAGGTAAGTTGAATTTGTTCAAAATAATAATAATAACAATTTTTATAAATAGAATAAAAATAAGTTATACCTCAAGGCAGGTACAACACTTGTCTCAGTTGCTAGGCTAAAGTAATATAAATAATAAGCTATCGACTGGTTGAGGAGAGTGAGATTGAATATTGATAGGAGACTGCTGGTTATCTATAAGGGTAATGAGACTAAGATCAGTTTTAACTATTATTGAATAAAAGTTAGAGAATTTACTAACCAATGAGTGGTTAAGTAAACTCTTTAATAACTTCAATCGTACTGGTTATCGACTTGGTGACAATCTGTTTTGGAAGTTAAGAAAAAGTATAAATTTAATATTAATTCTTTCGAGTCTAAAGATTGGACTTACAATCTTGCTAGTAAAGACTTTACAGCTTGATTGGGTTCTGAGTAATCGGTTTGTTGATTGATATTGTAAAGACTTGGGTTGAGCTGTTGCAAACGCTTCAAAAGATTCAGCTTGATTGATTCTCTAGGTCAAATGCTGAGAAGAGTTGAGTGTGATCGAGTGGCGAGGTCAATCGAATGAGCTCGGTTGATTCACTAGGTCCAACAATGAGAAGATTTGAGTGCGAATCGCGATCAATTGGCGAGGTGAAAAAATGAGGTCAATCGATTTGCTAGGTCAGACGCTGAGGCAGTTTGAGTGCGATCGTTTCGCGCGGTCCAAAAAATGTAGATCAATCGAGTGATTTGCTAGGTCAATTGCTTCAAAAGAGTGAGCTCGATGAATCCGCTAGGTCAAACGCTGAGGAGTGCAATCGATCGGCGAGGTGAAAAGAATCAGCCGAATCGATTCGCTAGGTTGAACGCTGTATGAGTGCAATTGCTCTGCGAGTTAGTTCAATCAATCCACTAGGTCAAAAAAAAAGTAATGAGATTGACACCTGAATGGACTTACCAGTTGTTGGCCGGTGAGTGGTGAGTGAGCTTAGCGGTCAGGGTGTGATGTTGGCCGGCGGTGAGTGATGGTCGAATGTGATGTCGGCCGGCTGTGAGTGATGTTAGCGGTCGAATGTCAAGTCGGCTGGCGGTGGAGGTGTGGAAGTTTATATTTATGTACTATGTACATATATTATGTACATCTAGTCGAGCTGGACTCGGCCGTGTGGGTAGTCCCCCCCAGACAAGGGACTTAGAGCTTTTTTGACCCTCCGATTTGCTGGCTAGGGCTGGCGATCCTAGGGTTGCCAGGGCCGCTTGTTTTTGGCTGGGTCCGGGGTGGTTTGTAGGGTGTGGGAGGGTTCGGTGGGTTCATCTTGGGGAGGGGGGTTAGGGTTGCCCTCAGGTGACACCACCGGTGCAGAAAGACGTCCCAAGGGCAGGACTCAGTGGGCCGGCACTAGCTCAGCAGTCCCAACTGCGCAGAGCGTCCCCGCTCAATTGCGCGAGGGATGCCCCTCTAGATAGAGCCACATATCATTGCTCATGTGCAAACACCGGGTTAGGCAGGAACACATTCCCTGTGTCCAAGAATTGCCCTTGTGACTTCTTCATTGTCGTGGCGAAAGCACTGATGATAGGGTACTGGAACCGAGCGGAAGAAGACGCGTCCGGGTCCGAGTTACCTAAGCCTCCCGAGGTGGCCGGGGGTGCAGAGTACATACATAAATACCCTGATGCGAAGCACACCTCATTCCGAATGCAAGCGCTTCGCGCCAGCCCATGGGCTGTACCAGGGGCCCAGGGCCCTCCGAAGCGATGGACTTGTGATAAGTCAGCTTCAGACGAGGACGTCGTCGTTGCTCTGCAGATGCCCACGCAGCCAGAGGCGCTTGGGAGGAGGACTGAGGAGGAGTGTTCAGCTAAGCTAGCGCAAGGTGTTCCTTTCGGACCTATCATTCCTTCTGCTGAGGCCCCTGAACGCGACCGCGATGCAGACTTGTGTTTGGTAAGTGTTCATCTCATCAGGAATTTGGCAAATGTTCAGCAGTGCATTTTCATGTACTTTGTCAAGAAAAACGAATGCCTTGCTATCGGGAGCTCATCTTCGAGTTGAATTGTCAATCACACCTCAGAAAGCTGCACACGCCGACCAGACTTCGGCCTTGAATGCACCCCCCCAGCAAGCAATGCTTCGCTGCCCGTATGGATGGATGGCTGAGCATCACATCGGTCTATAAATACACCAGTCGGCCTACTTGACTTTCTTTCTGGCCCGTCACATCCTTGCACTCCCCTAATACACCTACCATTCCATTCACACTCATCAAACTTCACAGGTTTTCCTCTTCCCTCTTCCCCAAGACTCACCAAACCAGATCAATCAACAATATGCCTTCAACCGCCTTCGCAAGCTTGGTTATATTAACCCTTTCTCCTTGTGCATTCGCCCATGTCATCGATCCCCTAGTGGTTCCCACCACGCTTCTTCACCACGAGCGTCGAGCGATCGATCAGAGCACCTTGCTCGAAAACGGCAAAGCGGCCCAAAAGCTCAATGCCAAATTCTCTAGCATGGGTCCTGACACGACCTGTCAGACCGGCGATATGGCGTGCATCGCCGGCGGTTTCATGCAGTGCGTGGCCGGAAAATATGTCGGCGGCCCTTGTGCCGGTGGTTTGAACTGTTTTGCATTACGTAAGGCGGCCTTCTTTTCACCTCATTTTGCAGCTTCAAGAGACCAAAGTTCCTAGCGACATACTGACACTTATTGCCCTCCCCCCCCCCCCCTCCCACTTGCAGCTCTCTTGCTGAAGAAAGGAACAACCATAAGTTGTGGTAAGTACCCCTTGTGTGACCCCAGCTTCACGGCTCAGAACTGATGATTTCCCACGTCCCACGCAATTGCAGACACTGAAGCCGATGCTACGACCCGGATCAGCAACACTGGTGCCACGGGTGGATTGAAAGGCACTGGAGGCTCCGACCCCGCGCCTGCCGCCGCCGATAACTCCACTCAAGCAAGCCCAACACCAGCAACTAAGGATGTGAACGGGACCCAGTCCGGCTCAATGGACGCCGACCAAGACGCATCTGATGCCAAGAGCTCCGGCGATGCCCCCTCTGACTCGCGCATGAACGCGACCGCGGTAGATGCCTCCTCGGGCTCTTCCAACTCAACCGATATGCCTGCCTCCTCTGGCTCTGAGTCGTCCACTGAGAAGAATGACGACTCCGATCTGCCAAAAGCGGACGACAAGCCTGCTGACAAAAAGTCAAGCTCCGAGTCGTCCACTTCGAAGAAGGACGACTTCGACGCTTCCACAGCGGACGACAAGCCCGCCGACAAAAAGTCTAGCTCCGAGTCCTCAACTGAAAAGAAGGACGACGCGGATGTTTCCAGAGCAGACGACAAGTCCGCCGACAAAAAGTCAAGCTCCGACTCGTCAACTGACAAGAAGGACGACTCTGATGATTCTAAGGCCGACGAGAAGCCTGCCGACAAAAAGTCAAGCTCCGAGTCGTCAACTGACAAGAAGGATGACTCTGATGTTTCCAAAGAGGACGACAAGCCCGCCGACAAAAAGTCAACCTCCGAGTCGTCAACTGACAAGAAGGACGACTCTGATGTTTCTAAGGCCCACGACAAGCCCGCCGACAAAAAGTCAAGCTCCGAGTCGTCAACTGACAAGAAGGACGAGTCTGATGTTTCCAAAGAGGACGACAAGCCCGCCGACAACAAGTCAAGCTCCGACTCGTCAACTGACAAGAAGGACGACTCCGATGTTTCTAAGGCCGACGAGAAGCCTGCTGGCAAAAAGTCAAGCCCCGAGTCCTCCATTGAGAAGAAGGACGACGCCGATGCGTCAAGCGGAGCGGATAAGCACGCCGACAAAGACTCTTCCTCCCCTGCTCCCTCAGATTCATCTTCCAACAAAACCGACGAACCTAGCCCCTAAAAGGCTCGCTCAACATGTTCTGCGGATAAACCCCAACAGGGTAAGCCTGCGAAATTGCGAAAGTGAACCGCCTACTACAAGATGTTCTAACCCAAAGTGACTTTCTCTTGCACCCTCCCCACCATCTACCTCCCCTTAGTCTCTGCAGTCGTCGATTTAGACGAGATGAATATCACCGGCCCTTAAACTTGAATCCTCATTGTAATAGTCTATTTCCAAGCAGGATCTTGAAATGTTGTACTGTTGTCTAGCTGCTCCCTACCAATAAAGTAATACAATAAATAGAGGACCCGCGGACAGTCTCATTCAATTTCAAAACAAAGTTAGATACAATCCCACTGTGTGAAACCCATGAGGCATGAGCATGCACAAAAAAAGGTGCCTGCTCCCCCGAAGGCCCCCTCAATCCCTTGCCATTTCCATCCAACTGCTTCAGAGGCAATCGACCCCCCATTTTGCTCTCAGGTTATGGGTTGCCTTTTTGGGACACTTCAGTCCTTTGAGTTTCACACTTTCTTTGTGTCTCTCGCTCGCAGAGCCGTATTTGAGCAGCACTTCCGCAGACGAAAACTAGCGCCGCTTCTTGATAACCTCTAGTTAGTAGCCGTGATCGAGCTGACCATTAGCTCTACAAACCCTTGCGCCTGTGGCCAATGGTGGTAAGCCACATGGATCTTGAAAGTCTCTTGTGATCATTTAATGAGACCGCAGGGTTCAACGTTGGGTTTGCAAGTGATCCCGAGATGGTTCAACCAACGGCAATGTCCAGCTGCTAGGTTTTAAGGTTCTGTGGCACAGGTGCTGCCAGCGCACTGTTTTGCAATCGGAGCTTTGCTTGGTTGATTGGAAAATAACAATGCAGCTTCAGGTTGTTAATAGAACCAAAATTGGAGATGAGAGTGCAACCAAACTCCCCTTGAGATTGTCTTGCAAGAGACTATCTCTCATTAGGTCTGGATAATTGAACACCGAGATTGAAGGCCAGGAAACAACTGATGGCGAATGAGGCCCACTTCTTGTGAAAGGACTCAAGATACCTTTCTTTTTTAACAAAAGTGATTCCTTAGATCTGATTAAGCAGTATTCATCCTCTACTAAAATGTGAAGGGTGTTGTGCAGGCGCGTGGAGAAGTAGCTCCACTTCTTGAAGCTCATCCCAAGTTGAACCCCAAGTGAGAATCCCAAGTCTCTTCGCCACTTCAGCATGCTCTTTGACTTTCTGGTACTGGCCTTGCGAGTTGTAAAACCCCGCAGCAAGCAAGTTAGCGGTTACCAAGCAGGAAGGTATATTTTCCTGTTTGAAATTGATGGGCATAGACAAACGTTAGTATGTACATTGGGCGCGGAAGTATCTCAAAATGCATGTTGAAAGAAGTGCATACCGTTTCGCAAAGGCTGAGGAACTCCTGGACCTCTTCAGCCGAAAACCGACTATCATCAGAGTCCGCGTAGGCTTTGTATCGAAACTGCGTTATCCGCGAAACCCGTTCATCTGACTGCTCTTGAAGTTCGGAGCTCATCCGGCAGTGTGAGCAAGCGCAATCAAACCCATATTCCCTCTTGATGCTCTCTCGTCTCTCTTTCCCGTTCATTTCTAGGGAGCGATCTGTAGATTTGCGTAAGGATAATGTCGACAAATATTTCAATTGTCAAGAATTTACCTACAGCTTATCGTTAGCTCCTCGCCCTTTGCAATCGGCTTGAAAGCCCTCATTCGTAAAATCTGGGTGCGCGAATCCAAGTTGTAAACCATGTTAGGTCGGCAGTCATGGTTGAATCGACTATGCATTGTTCGAGAGGGGTTAATCAGTAATCTTGCTGGCGCAAATAGTTTTGGTAGTTAGGGAATACACTCACGAAGCATTCACTACAACAGCCCCAAGAAGTTCGAATGTTGAAAGCTTGCTGGTGAACGTGTTGATGTCAATCAAATTTGAGATGAACTCGTCTTCATTCCTCCCTTCACCGTGCAGACGAGCGACTTCAGCTCTCGTTCGAAGTGGCAAATGGTCGATGGCATGCCGGCGAACGCTTTGACCAAAGCTAGTTGACCAAACCGAATGGCCAAGGGGAACGAGAGCAACTGGGCGCATCAGAGCAATATCTTCTCCGACTTGAATATCGCGAGAAGCCACTGCTCCCTTGCCGCCCTTTTCGGGCATGTCCACCACTTCTATATTCCTATCCAGATTCGGCAAATCATCCGAAAGCTCAAGACCCTCTGCTAAGCTTTGTTCGAACTCTTTTTCAGGAGCGAGAATCACAATTCCTTGTCCACGGTTGACGGTCGGGTTAACGAAGATACACAAATCGGCTGGACCATTATCAGGCTGTAATTATAAACAGCTTTTCGAGTTTTTTTTCAAAACGTTTTCAAAACGTTTTGAAATTCGTTTCTTTTATTTTTTTAGGAACTTGATAGCTCGATCAGTTTTCAAAACTGACTTGATATCAATTTCCAATTATAAACTAAATTTTCATCGGTGAGTCCCAAAACACAAACCTGCCTCTCAAGCCTTCCAAGAACTGACAACTCAAGCCCTCAAGATTCAACCCGAGATTCAACCAGATGGATCTATCCCCCCCCCAACGACCTTCTTACTCGTGTCGCTCTTTGGCACATGCTTCATGTCCAACGATCGCAGGAAGAAAATGAAGTATATATTCGAGCAAATCGGAAGGTTTACACACGACCGAATCGCTGGGAGCCTTGGGATGATAACCGAATCCCTGCCACACGATTTGTCGAACTATTCCGAATGTCCCTGGGCGACTTTAATTGGCTATCGGACGAACTTCGTGGCGAACTCCAGCAAGACTTGCAGGGACGTGGAGAGCCGCTGTTGGTAGAAGCCCAAGTTGCCGTAGGACTCTACCGACTAGGTCATGGAGTTAGCTATGTGACGATCGGCCATGTTTTCAATGTAGGCAAGGAGACGGCTGACAAAGCCTCGGGTCGCTTTGTAAATGCGGTCCTCAAAGTGTTGAGGAAGCGGGCAGTCGGGTATGTTGTTTCTTTGTTTTAGCAGTTCTGAAACTGACAGCTCCCCTGCCTCTGCTCTCAAGTTATCCGCCACTGGATAGGAACGATCAGTGGGATGAGATCAAGGAATCGTTCGAACGCCGTCGCGGGATTCCCAATATCGTTGGGGCCATCGATGGAACTCATATCCCGATTGTGATACCCCCAAATGACGAATGGAAGGGTTATATCAACAGAAAGAGTTGGGCCTCCATCTCTATACAGTGTGTAGTTGATGGTCAAGGGAATTTTCGAAATGTTGAGTTGAATTCACTATCTCAATTCCCCTTGCTTAAAACTGATACTCTATCAATTTTACCAGGTCAGTGGGGGTGGGCCGGGATCGATGCACGACAGCCGGGTTTTCCGACGATCTCGTATAGGCCAAAGCCTTCTCCCAGATTGTAACGAGGGACCAATGATACCGGATGGAACGTATCTGGTTGGAGATGCAGGGTACCCTTCAAATGTCAATATCCTTGTTCCATATCCGTCGGTGCTCTCCCCAGCCAACGAATGGTTCAACTTTATTCAGTCCTCGACTCGGATTGTTGTCGAGCAAGCTTTTGGCCGCTTGAAGAATCGATTCCGAATTTTGCTTCAATCCCAGAATGCCCGTCCACTCCGGGCAAAAAACAATGCCTTCGCCTGTATAATATTACACAACATCTTAAACCGACGAGGCTCACTCTATCTGCAAGATTGGGATGAGCGAACAAGTCACGAGCAGTTGTATGGTGAAGTCCCTCAAGTGAACGAGGGAGGTAACAGACAGACAAATCCCGAAGATCCCCAGGTGTCTATGTGGACTCGCCGTGATATTATCCGCGACTACTTGTACACCTCATATTAAGAGGATGTTTTCTGTTCTAAATATTCCATTTTTTTGTTGACTCTCAATGCCTTTTTGTTTTGCTTTTTTTTTTCTCTCTCTGTCTCAATCAAAAAAACTCTTTTATAAGAGACTTTATGTATGAATTTTTTTTTATTGATAGCTAGTTAGTACTTTACATTGAAATTGATTAATCGGACTTCTATCAGGGAGAATAATAAGTGAGAAAAGAAGATAATGATGAAGAGAGAAACTGTGATCGCACTACTACACAACAACACATTCATGAGAAAAAAAATCATAACAATTCAGTCATGAAAAAAAAAGTGTCATGAAAGTGAGAGCTGATCGGATACACAGTCTTTTAGATTAGAGATAATATTGAAAAAGAAAGATGAGAATAAAAAAAACTGTCATTTTCCTAGTCCTCCCATGAACTTCAGCATTGCCAATTGGAAAGACTGGCGGGCTTCCTCTTGTGCCGCTTGTTGAGCTGCCTGGGCCAATGCCAGTCGCTCCTGGTTGGCCTCCCAACGTCGGGTGGACTCCTGAGCATCCTTAGCGCGAGCATCCTCGCGAGCAGCAATTCTTTAATCCGCTGCCTCTCGGTCCAATCGCATTTGAAGGGCGGCAGACTCCCGATCCATTTGGAGTTGTCGGCTCGCTTCTTCACGTTCCCGTCGATCATCACGCAATGCCTCCAATCGAGCCTCTTCCTTCCGATTAAACCTTGCTTCCGCCTCGCGACGCTCATCAAGGCGAGCTTCTTCCGATTTGTGCATCAAGAGGAGCATCCCATTGGCTGTGGGATCCTCCTTCTTGGGAGCCTCCTCGTAGCGCCCACGTCGACGAGCTGGAGCTCCACTTTCGGCCGGGGGGCGCCGAGTGGAAGGCGTAACCCCACTTCCAGTTGCTGCAGGGATTGCACCGACGCTCACGGTTCCGGTTGCTCTAGAAGGGGTGGGCCGGGTTGCTTGAGCTGGAGTTGACTCGGTGGGCCGGGTTGCTTGAGCAGGAGTTGACTCATATGCAGGTGGAGGGCTGGGGGAGTCTAGCGCCATTTCCGCAGCAGTCAGGGGCGGCAAATTGGAACGATTGCGCCTGGATGGTGGGTTGATTGATTGAGATGGATTCGGTGGTGGGTTCATCGATTCGGTTTCGGCAAGCAGGTCATCAGGAAGTTCTGATGCTGAATTCTCAGGCGAGGCCGGGGGGGTTGCACCAGGATCATTCAAAAGGCTCTCGATTGGATCCTCAAGTTCAACTTGCCCATGTGCATGGGCAGCAGCATCGTTCCCGTGCATATCCCCTAGTAGATTCCACATCTGAGAGGATCAAAATAGAGTCAGCTTGCCTCCAGGTCTATCTGAAATCAGCAGAGGACTTACTGTATCACTCATTCCACATTCCACAAGGGCAACGAATAGCCCATCGCTTCCTGATTGATCGACCTTATCCTTTACTTTCTGTAGAGTTTATAAAATAATGTTTGATTAGTTAATCAATCAAACATAATTCAAGCCAGTGGAATAAATAAAAAAAAACTTACACGCCACGTTCCCATGAGGGCCGAATAACGGGTTAAGAGGCTTTGATTGGTGCGCCCAATTAGTAGGGGAAAAAGATCGCTATCGACAGGGTAGGCCAATAGGAATTTGTTGAAGTTCATAAAGCCGGTCTGGTTGCGCTTGAGTTCGGTATGCTCATCTTTGACCATATGATAGAAATGGACCATCTCAAGTGAAGCGTCCTCCGACCATGTTACCCGAGCTGGTTTCGATGGTTGACTTTGCTTGATTATCCCTTGCGCCTTCTTTGCTGCCGCCTTCGCAAGGTTATTTTCAGCTCGGTCAGCTGCTTTCTGGACTTTGTTGGCGGCCTTCTTTGCTGCAATGTGATCTGCTAACGTCATCTGGGCAGCCGATCTTCGGGACCTGCGAGTTCGAGTGGCCACAGCTGGTGATGATCCTTGGGTCCTGGTTGGTCCTGAGTTTGGTGAAATTGGAGATAAGGTAGACGAGTCGAAGTTCCCCTCAAGAGGTGGGTTGGAGCCTTGATCAGGAAAAACTGTATTTTGATTGAGAAATACGGGATTCGCAGGTCCACGCCTGCTTTGGAACGGATGCCCGTCGGGGTAGTCTTGCGGATTGGGGTTGAAAAAAGCTTGTCGGTTGTTCAAGCGATGAGCTCCAGCCGTCTGGTTCTGAGGAGCTTGGAGAGATGGCCGTCCTGATCCATTTGTCTGATATTGTACACCTCCGAACTGTTCGGAACTCCAACTGCCCGGCGGAGGATGGGGAGTAACATCTGAGCCAAAGATTTGCATTTGAGGGTGATCGGAAGAGTACTGTTGTTGTTGAGATGGGAAATGTTGGTTTTTGTTACTGCCGTAGCTGTAGTAATGAGAGGGGCTGCTATTTGGATCCGTGGCCTGGTTCATCGTGGACGGTTCCTTCGCGATGTTGGATTCCTCTCAGATGTGGAATCTACTAGGGGATATGCACGGGAACGATGCTGCTGCCCATGCACATGGGCAAGTTGAACTTGAGGATCCAATCGAGAGCCTTTTGAATGATCCTGGTGCAACCCCCCCGGCCTCGCCTGAGAATTCAGCATCAGAACTTCCTGATGACCTGCTTGCCGAAACCGAATCAATGAACCCACCACCGAATCCATCTCAATCAATCAACCCACCATCCAGGCGCAATCGTTCCAATTTGCCGCCCCTGACTGCTGCGGAAATGGCGCTAGACTCCCCCAGCCCTCCACCTGCATATGAGTCAACTCCTGCTCAAGCAACCCGGCCCACCGAGTCAACTCCAGCTCAAGCAACCCGGCCCACCCCTTCTAGAGCAACCGGAACCGTGAGCGTCGGTGCAATCCCTGCAGCAACTGGAAGTGGGGTTACGCCTTCCACTCGGCGCCCCCCGGCCGAAAGTGGAGCTCCAGCTCGTCGACGTGGGCGCTACGAGGAGGCTCCCACAGCCAATGGGATGCTCCTCTTGATGCACAAATCGGAAGAAGCTCGCCTTGATGAGCGTCGCGAGGCGGAAGCAAGGTTTAATCGGAAGGAAGAGGCTCGATTGGAGGCATTGCGTGATGATCGACGGGAACGTGAAGAAGCGAGCCGACAACTCCAAATGGATAGGGAGTCTGCCGCCCTTCAAATGCGATTGGACCGAGAGGCAGCGGATTAAAGAATTGCTGCTCGCGAGGATGCTCGCGCTAAGGATGCTCAGGAGTCCACCCGACGTTGGGAGGCCAACCAGGAGCGACTGGCATTGGCCCAGGCAGCTCAACAAGCGGCACAAGAGGAAGCCCGCCAGTCTTTCCAATTGGCAATGCTGAAGTTCATGGGAGGACTAGGAAAATGACAGTTTTTTTTATTCTCATCTTTCTTTTTCAATATTATCTCTAATCTAAAAGACTGTGTATCCGATCAGCTCTCACTTTCATGACACTTTTTTTTTCATGACTGAATTGTTATGATTTTTTTTCTCATGAATGTGTTGTTGTGTAGTAGTGCGATCACAGTTTCTCTCTTCATCATTATCTTCTTTTCTCACTTATTATTCTCCCTGATAGAAGTCCGATTAATCAATTTCAATGTAAAGTACTAACTAGCTATCAATAAAAAAAATTCATACATAAAGTCTCTTATAAAAGAGTTTTTTTGATTGAGACAGAGAGAGAAAAAAAAAAGCAAAACAAAAAGGCATTGAGAGTCAACAAAAAAATGGAATATTTAGAACAGAAAACATCCTCTTAATATGAGGTGTACAAGTAGTCGCGGATAATATCACGGCGAGTCCACATAGACACCTGGGGATCTCGGATTTGTCTGTCTGTTACCTCCCTCGTTCACTTGAGGGACTTCACCATACAACTGCTCGTGACTTGTTCGCTCATCCCAATCTTGCAGATAGAGTGAGCCTCGTCGGTTTAAGATGTTGTGTAATATTATACAGGCGAAGGCATTGTTTTTTGCCCGGAGTGGACGGGCATTCTGGGATTGAAGCAAAATTCGGAATCGATTCTTCAAGCGGTGTAAGACTCAAAAGTGATTATGAAAACCCTTTTGCTGAATGGAGAAGGGGATGATGGAGTTGCAAGCTCTGCCCTTCTATGCTATCAGAACAACAAGACCACCAAGCTTAGCTTGGCAGTTATATTTATCGTGATAGAGGATAGTTCAAGATGAAGCTTCCGAGTGATGTGTATAAGGTCTGAAGTTATAAATGAGTGATGATTATATTGATGAAGCTGTTGTTCAAAGCTTTAAAACCAAGGCTTGGAGCTCTGGGAGCGCTATGCTTCAACCAGTAATGGTATGTGAGGCAGGTTATGGGCACTTGGCACTTGTTATGATGATGAAAGTGTTATGATTGTATTTCAATATAATGTATAGTTATGGCTGTCACTTGTATATAATCTGTAAGGGTGGTTGAGATGATCTGGTCCACTGGTGGGATGATGGAGGGAACAACTGGCAGGCAGAGGCCTCCTTATATAGACAAATGTGAGGGATTTTAGCCCCAGGGTACAGGCTTTTGAGGCATTTTAGCTGGCCTGAAGATCCAATGAGGGATTTTAGCTAGTCTTGTACGTGCAGGTGAGGGAATTTGGCTGGTGAGAGCATAGGGCTTAAGAATTTAGCTAGCCTACAAGGTCCTACTACAAAGGAA